CTCACTCACTCTCTCACTCTCTCACTTTCTCTCTCTCACTCTCTCTGCGTAGTGTGTGGATCATGCGGGTGCACCCGTCCATCCATAGGTGGAGGCAGGCATGCAGGTAGGTGTGTGTGTACGGGTAGGTGGGGAGTTGTTGACTTACCTACCTGCCTGCTTGCCGCGTCCATTCATGTAAGCATGTATGCATGTATGCATGTATGCATGTATGTACGTATGTACCTCAGTACATATGTGCTTGATTATGCATGAGCATGATAGGTATGTGTACATGTCTCTGTCTGCGTCGGTGTCTGCGTGTCTGAATATCTGTCTGTCTGTTTGTGGTGGTTGTATGTATTTATGTATGTATGTATGTATGCATGTAGCAGCGCGGAAGTGAAGTGAAGTGAAGCATGTATGTATGTACAGTGGTGAACGGCCCGTTCGGGCCCAAACAGCAAAGCAATTATGCACCCCCCTCCAAAAAAAAGCGCCCTCCCGCACCAACGGCAAACCACCCACCCCACCAACAGCAAAAATCGAAGCACTCCGCACCACACCAACCGCCAAAAAGCGCCACCAGCAAACAAAAGCATGCTATGAGGTCTGGGTGGTGTTTCTTTTTCTGCTGTGGGTGCGCGGCGGTGGAGGTGGGGGTGGGGTATCAAAAGCAAAAGCCAAAACATCCCCTTCCCCCTGACGCCAACTACACCCCCCCCCCAACTCCCGCACCAGCAGTAAAAAAACAGCTCTCCCGCACCAGCAGCAAAACAAAAAACATTCCCCACACCAACTGCAAAAAAGCAGCAACAGCAATCACAAAAAACACTTGCAGCACCTTGCGATGCGTGTTTGCACGCTGTTCTGTTTGCGCGGAGCGGGAACGGTAAGCGGTCACCTTTCTCAGCAGTTGAGAAATGGTATTTGTAGCAGACAAGTTGCACCGGTCGTGCATCCGCCCGGAAACCTCGAACTCCCTCAGCTTGAGACTCAGGCCGGCAGAGGCGGAGTGTCCGCCGCAGGGATTGCCTTGTCACTCTATGCTGCAAGCTTAATCTCACCCAGCGCACGGACTGGCACACATGCTAGCTGCTAGCTGGCTGCTAGCTCTGAGGTCTGTCCCTTCTCACCGGTCTTGCTCGTGCTGCCGTGTGCTTGCCTGGCCTACAACCAGCGACTTGGCAAGCTCGCAAGGGGATGCACAGGTGTTCGCCAGGTGTTAGCCATTCTTCGCACCCTGCCGTTTGGGGGCAGGCAACCTCGCACGCAAAGAGCCAAAGACGACCGCACAAACTGCATCGAGTACCTTGGCTCGCCAGGGCTAAGTTGTTTCTTCACTGTCCAAGAACAATTGCCACCCTTGCAGATCGCAGTGACTTCGCGGTGCCAGATATAGTGCCAGGTATGAAGCATTGACTTTGACAAAGGGCAACGTCGTCTCACCGGCATGGGTGTTAAGTTCAAAGGCAAAACGAAAGCAGCATAACGCCACAGCACTGACAGAGACAGCGATGTTTCGCAGATCAACATTGGCTTCCTCCTCTACTGCGTTCCGTGGCTACACAAGGCTTACCAGTCTGCGAGACAAGAGATCTTGTGTTGTCAGGCTTGCTTCGTGGCAGTCGTCTTCGGCTCCTTTGCGTGCCTTCTGGGAGTGCTCTTTGCTCCATTGTCAAAGTTTATTATGCTGGGTGCGCCCTCGACATCGCCATGGCCAGGCGTCGATGGCTGCCATGGCCGGTGAGCTCCAGTTCTTAGAGGCCGCAGATCCTCGGGCTCCTCCTGGGCGTCCGTGTCGCTGCAATTTACTGAGGCCGCGTTCTTGTCAGTACTCAGCATACGCGACCTGACGCCGAACACTGGCTTTTTCTGGTACTTTTTCATTGAGGCAAGGCCCTGTCAGGATGTTGGAGCCCCATTGTTGAGTGCTAGTGTTGCTTTGACTAGGTCTTTCAGCGCTATTACTTGCTTTTCGTCTTTGCGTTCCACGCCCATGTTCTTTTCTACCCAGCATGCAGCCTCAGCGCAAGAAGCGTTGCTTGTTGGCTGACTGGTCTGCAGGTCCTAATTTTCTGTTGATCTCATGAGGTCCCTCTCCACCTCCGTCTAGGGAGCTATGCGCCGACAGGGCACTTTCCTCACGACGAGTCGCAGGCTGAAATTATCTGCCACACCATTTGAGCCTTGTGAGGCCCTTCATCCACTGCAGCGCTGCGATTGGCATGGTGCCATCCCAAGTTGGGTTTGTTGTGAGCCCGGTTAACGGAACTGTGCGTTGGAACCAGATTGCGCTCTTCAAGCCCTATCCCACGGCCAGTGCCGGAGCCGCATGGAACCAGCTTCCAACCCATTTTTTGTTGGCTCCTTTTGTGGGTCCATGCTCTACTGGAGGCGACTATGCGTTGATGGTGTCGGCCATGCTCGTTCAAGCGGAGCTCATCCGAGAGAGCCAGCCGCCCTCACAGAGCCCTTGGTGCCTTCAAACTTATCTTCGCTTCTGCGCTCTCTACCTGTGATCTGTTTGCCAGGCACTACTTCGCATTTCTTCTGAGTGGCGTCATGTTTGGCCTTTCGATGGTTCCGACGATGGTGGCAGTTCCATGCTCAAGAAACAGCTGGAGAAGACAACCCCCACCCCTTGCAAAGGGGTAGCACTCAGGTATGGTTGGGCAGAAATGCAGGTGGCCTCCTCAAACGATGTGCATGTTGCTGTGCTTGATGTCATCTGCTGTAGTGACCTCGTGCTTCTTGTGAAGGCAATGCAAACTATCTGTACAACATGACACTCGTAGTGAATGCCGCGGGCTCGGCTGTCGTGGATTCTCGTCCGTGGTGCAGCTGTCAGCATCCGTCCTGAGGTCTTCGCATCCCTGACTCTGTCAGAATGGGCTGCTTGTCCATGCTCTTGGATTGTCATCGGGACTCCAAAGCCTTTGTCCAGCGAGGTCAAAGCCGGTATGCGGTTGCGAAAACGGCAATTCCGCTTGGCCTTCTTTCGTGAGCTTCTCCTCAGTCTGGCTGACGAGGCGCCGTTTTGTTCTCACGTCCCGCAAGCTTGGCCAGACCTGGCGCGCAGGTAGCAGCCAACCCAGCTTCTGTCAAGGCGACGTTCCGCGTCGCGATTTCATGTGCTGGTGCCATTGCATGCCTTTCTCGGAGGAGAAGGTGTCAGTTCCAGCTCCTGATGCTGATACGGCAGTGACGTAAAAAGTCTGTGGCCAGAAACATGAGTTGCTGAGCGACAGTGGATCTTAGTCTTGGCTGACTACTTATAGCTATCAAAGGACCAATACCGCCTGCTTGGGAATGACTCGCACGGGCACCTGTCGGACAGAGCCCAAAGCCCAAGACCAGCGAGAACATTCTGCACAGATGACGCTCACGCAGCACAATCGAGCCCTGGCCCAGCAAATCCCAGATACGAGGTGCTAGCTGGAACTATTGCCGACCACAGAACTGAAGGGTGGGGGCAACACAGCTTTCAACACCGGAGGCACGGAAAAGGGTGCGAAATATGGGAAATCAAATAATATGGATGTGGGCAGCACCGTCACCATGTGGAGATTGAGGAAGCTGCCACTGCTGCTGTTCGTGCATCTCAAGCGCTTTGGGTTCGAGGTGTGGCCATATCTTAGTACCGATACCTGCGCAGCCGCCTAATTTCCCTCGTACGCCATTGAAGGCAAGAACTTGGGGTATTCCCACATGGAAGATCGAGGGTGAGGCCTGTCCGTTTCAACTCGGTACCCTCTCCGACTTCACGAAGCATAGGTCGGACTACCATCAGAGCGGCTTGACCTTCAAGACTTCGTCCCGAAAATGCTGGCAGCCTATTCATCACTTAAGACTCATGCATCTTCATAGTCATGCTGATTCCTGTATCTTGTCAACCAGCATTGCTGTATGTTCGCTGATTGCCGGCGTGAAATGCTGGCGGCAAGTGGCCAGAAAGAGATCAGGGGTGACTAACGGCTCTCATCCTGCTGACTGCAACAAGGTCAACGGATTTGCAATATGCACGAGCCTCATGCCAGAGAATGCAGACTGCTTGTGATACCGTGCGATGACATGATATGAGATGATTACAGAACAGCTGAGGATCTGTTTGCAGCGGTGGATCATGTAGGCACTCGTCTCGTGTTGACAGCGATAACTCTTGTTGCCCGCAGACAGCTGGCCTTGATGAATCTGATAGGTTCCTCGCCGTTTTCTGGGCACTACACAGCCACCGAGCAGCATGTAGAGTGCACAAGCATCCAGCCGATGCTAACAGTACATGCTTTGCCTTCAGAATCTTCAGATCAGTGGGTTTCAAGACACCGCGCCCGCATATGTCCCGATGTCAAGCAGGTTAAAAGAGGAGCATTCAACGTGTCGAGTGCCCCCGGGGTAGAAGCAAGAATTGAGGAGTTCGGAAGGCTCCCCTTCTCCGCAACATTGACACTTCGACCGAGCTTCGCGGCCACGTCTCAGCTCAGGCTTCTTGTCGCCGAGCGGATGGGCAGCTTGGTTTTGGCAGGTCCATGTAAAGAGCTGGAGCGATCCCATCTGCAACGCTACTGAGCTGGTGGCGCTTCGATGACTCGCGCACCGAGTACCTGGGCCGAGCAGGCTGTGAGGCCAGGATTTCGATGCGGAGCTGCGGAGCCGAGCTTTATTCTTGTCTTTCCACATCCTTTGTGCAGGCGACCGACAGGAAGGTCATCGGCTCTTGGAAACTCGTTTGCAGCCTGCGTCCTGTTGCTTTGAGCTTGTTCGATCTTCTCATGACAACGAAGGAACTACCTCCTCATGTTCCAGAGGCAGGTGGACCTTGCTTGGGTTTGAAGCGATCCATGCTCCCTGGAGGCGCGACGGGCCGGCAGATCCAGAGAAAGTGCCGGAGCAAAGCCACCGACACCCGGAGCTCTTCGCTGTGACTGCTTAAAGTAGTGCTGCCGGCATTCTTGACGAACGGCCTAGCCCCCTCGTGCAGGCTCGAAGATGCGAGTTCAGTTATGCAGCGACACATCAACTTCTGCACAACAGCACTAAGCAGTAGACTGACTCAGCCAATCAGCCAGTACAGTATCACTGGGTGAGTAGCTGCAAGCCTTGGCTGTGTACATACACACTTTCTGCTTGTGGCCGACGTGCTGCGGGCCCAGACCTTAGCATGGCGCAGATGGCGATTGGCTGCTAACCCAAGATGGTAACGACAGTCTTCATGAAGAAACCGAGGCGTATGGCGCTCCATGCAATGCCAGAGGAGGATTCGGTAAACATCTTGCATTTCCGGTATGGTGGATGTAGACGCGGTCTAGATTCCGAGCTTATTCTGCACTGCCACCACGCAGCAGAAGTCTAGATAACGTGTCTGTACATTTGCAAAGAAGGGCAGTAGCACTGCTCCCACGCTCCTCGTCGCAGGATATTCCCCCTCCTCCAGCCCCGTTTGCTGCAGAGCAGCGCATGGCAGCCAGAGGTGAGTGCTCCGCCATAATGCTTTCGTTGCATGGGAAAATCGCTTTTGCACGCTGCTGCTCGCGAGCAGGCAAAATCGATTTGGCGGCTGCATTCAATGCGGCTCACGCAGAGGGCTGTGAGTGTTGCGTGCCCAAACAGTCTGCTCTGAAGCCTGGCTTCTGGCGAGACGTTGGTTTTGGTGAAGAGGCACGGGCAGGGACGTTGCATTAGTTGCATTGGTCAATGCTGAAGTCTGTAGCGTAGCAGGCAGAGACTCCTGAAGGCGAGAGTCTCCGGAGGACTTTCCTTCAAGAGGCCCTTGAGTCTTTGAGCTTTTGCCTGCAAAGCACGGCGATGTTCAGCGAGGTCGAGGAGGAGGCAGAGGCTATGTCCCCGATCGAGCGAACTGCCGCCATTTTCGGATGGAAGCGAGCCGGTCGGACTCCTAGACTGAAAAGGACAAGATTGGAAAGATAAGACTCTGATGATCGAGCCGAGTGGAGCTGCCACAACTTGTGAATGGCCTTCAACATCATCGACCGTATAGCAGCTGCAGACTGAGGTGACATGGCACTTGAGGCCGCCGAAGATGACTCTGTTGCTGCTTACTCGTACTCATACTGGTGGTCGTCGTCGTCGTAGCCGTAGTTGTAGTCGTAGTGGCAGTAGCTGCAGTTAGTAGTAGTAGTAGTAGTAGTAGCAGTAGTAGTAGTAGTAGTAGTAGTAGTAGTAGTAGGCGTAGACGTAGTCGTAGTCGCAGTGGTAGACGTGGTAGTGGTAGTGGTGAGCTGGTGGTGGTGGT